AGGCCGACACTTGGAAGCCGATGGAGCACACGAACTCGTCGAAGGTCTCGTTCCACACTCGCGAAGCTTGCTTGAGACCGTAGATGGCCTTCACCAGTTCCAGGCAGTCGAAGTCACCATCCAGTTCGACGCCTTCCGGAACCACGCAGAAGACCACCTCCTTCATTATCCCGTACAGGAATGCTGTCACCACGTCGAGTTGGTCGAGGGGCCAGCCAAAATACTTAGCAATCGCGATCACCATGCGCAGCGTCACATACTTGACCACGGGCGAGAACGTCTCGGTGTAGTCAATGCCGTACTTCTGCTTGAAGCCCTTGGCCACGAGGCGCGCCTTGTACTTCTCGATCGAGCCGTCCGCTTTGCGCTTGATCTTGAACACCCACTTGGTATCGATGGCGCGTTGTCCGTTAGGCAACTTGGCAGCTCGAAACACACCACGCAGTCGCATCGACTTGAGCTCCGCGCGGATCGCTTTGCGCCAGTGCACTTGATCAGGACCGTTCACAGCCTCTTGGGACGTCGTCGGCTCCGATAGATCGGCTGCTGCTTCCACAGCGTTGGCACTGGCACGCCAAAACACTGGAGGCGTCGAGTCGTCGTCTTCATCTTGGTCCCCAGACGTTTCTTCTTCGTCGGGGTCGGCTCGGCGCGAGGAGGATACGTCCGGCGCACTTGCTTCTTCTAAGCCAGCTCGGTGGCGAACGGGGCGCGATCTTCTGGCAGTGTTGTCGTCGCCACTCGGTCGGTACTTGCGCTTCCCCGCCTGCTGGAAGCTCGTTTGGCGCGGTCCATCGTTGTCGTCCAGGTCCAGCGCGTCCAAGTCCAGCACAGCATCATCGACGTCTTCATCCGAAGTATGCGTCGAAAGTCCAAAGGTCGACTCATCGAAGTTGACATCGCGACTGATAACCACCTGCCCCGCCTCGATGTCATAAACTCGATACGCCTTGGACACTTCTTCGTAGCCGAGGAACAGCCCGGCGCGAGCCTTGGGGTCCCACTTGCGCCGTCTTTCCTTCGGCGTCAGGATGTACGTCTGGCATTCGAACACACGCATGTGCTTCACACTCGGCTTGGACTTGTAAACGATCTCGAACGGAGTCTTGTGTTCGATCTTGGGTGATGGCAGACGATTCTTCACGTAGATGGCTGTCATGGCCGCCTCAGCCCAGAAGCTCTTGTCCAGCTTGGCGTGATGCAGCATGCTGCGGCCAAGCGTGACGATGGTCCGGATGGCGCGTTCTGCCGTGCCGTTGGTCTGGTGCGCGTACGGAACCGTGGTTTGCTGCTCGATGCCTTCGACTTCGTAGAAGGCCTTGAGCGAGTTGGTCGCGAACTCACGGGCTCCGTCGTGCCGCACAAACTTGACCTTCTTGCCGAACTGCGTCTGCACCTTCGTGACGTACATCTTGATGCAGTCCTCGCTCTCCGACTTGGCACGCAGGCAGAACCCCTTCATGCATCCGCTGGCTTCGTCCACGATCAGCAGCAGATACTTGCTGCCACCCAGTGACTCTTCTTCCATGGGGCCGCACACGTCGAAGTGGAGCAGCTCGAACGTGTCGTAGTGACGCTTGTCACGGTTGCTTGGGAACGGCTTCTGGACCATTTTCCCTTGCTGGCAGCCGCGACACACGCTTGGTCCACTCGACTTGGAAGGTGCCTTCGCGTCCTTGATCATGTTGTTGTCGACCATCTTGCGAAGCACCTCCACCGGAGCGTGACCCATACGCGCGTGTAAGTCGACCGTCTTCCCACTGGTCGCCGCATTCGCCGATCGCTGAGGCGTCTGGAGCCAGTAGAGTCCATCCACGAGGTTTGCCGTCGCCACCACTTGCTTGGAGCCCTTGTGCGCAATCTGCATCTTGGTGCTGTCGAACACGACTTGGAACAGACCACTCTTGTTGATCTGTGGCACCGAAAGCAGATTCTTGCTCATGCTTGGGACGTACAGCGCGTTCTTGATCTCGATGTCGCGCTCGTCGCCGTTGGGCAGAACCACTCGTTCCACGATGGTCCCCACACCCATGATGGCCGCCTTGTTGCCGTCGGCCACCGAAAGTTCGCCTTCATTCCGCTCAATCAAATGAGCGAACTTGGCCTTGTCGTTGCAGATGCGGTGCGTTGCGCCGCTGTCGACCGCCCACAACCCGGACACATTCTTGCCCGTCGAAATGCCACACTCCAGTGAGACCGCGAACGCCACTCGATCATAGCCGTAGTCGTAGTTGTAGCTGGCGTCGTCGTTCCTCCACTGGGCATTGTTGGCCCCGCGTCCACGGCCATTGCCATTGCCGCCGCGTCTTGGGCCCCGATTCTCGTCCTTCTGCTTGGTCCAGCACTTGTCAATCGTGTGCCCCAATTTCCCGCAGTACGTACACTGGCGAGACTCTCGGTCGGTGTTGAACGCCTTGGCCGCATTCTCCGTCTTCACCGTCGCCGTCTTCTCGCCTTGTCTCTTGATGTGCTCATTCGTCAGCACCTTCACGACGTCTTGCGATCGTAGTTCAGCGCTGCTCATCTCCAAGTTCAGCACGACGTTCTCGTAGCTCTTGGGGAGGCTGCGCAACAGGCAGATCGCCACGTCCTCATCCTCCATCTTGGCGCCGATGCTGCTGAGCTTGGCGCTGATGTTGAGGACCTCGTTGCAATGATGCAAGACGTTGCCGCCTTCCGACATCTCCATGCTGAAGAGTTGGCGCTTCAGGTAGATGCGTCCAGCCTTCTGCGAACCACCGTACAGCGTCTTCAGGCGCGTCCACGCAACCCACGCTTCCTCGCAGTCGTCGACCACATGGTGGTAGTCCGCGTCCATGTGGAGCAACATCAGTCCGAACGCGATGTTGCTCGACTTGACGTAGTCGTCCTTGGCCCGCGAGTCCGTGAAGCTCGGCGTCGTCTCGCGGTTCACGACATGCCACGTCGACTTGGTCAGGAACACGCCACGCATGTAGCGGTTCCACGTCGCGTAGTTGTCCCCGTTGAACTTGTCAATGGAGACCTTGGTCGAGGCGTCTTGGGCAGAGGACATGGTGCTTGGGCTCATAACCTGATGGAAGGTATGGATCTTGGACACGAAGCTCGGACGAAGCGGAGGGAGGGACGTCGCAGACGGCGGGACCGGAGCGAAGGCACTTGAGGGGTAGAATGAAGATTCGAAAGTGATTGAATTGTTGGAGCTTACACCCTACTGTTATAGACACGCGACCCTGCGTCCTATCACCTAGTGCATCTAATCAACCATCACTCACCGGTGTTCATCCAATCATCCTACTCGTCTAATCATCGGTGGCGTAAACAACTTACCGTAATCACCATAATCAACGTGGGTTCGGATTGGACCGGTTCGGGTTAACCGGTTAATGGGTACAACTGGTATACAGTACCCAAGACCAGCAACCCTCAATATATTGGCCCGGTATGTACGCCGATGTCGAACGTTTTGTGAAGGAGTGTGTCGATTGTGCAAGCGGAAAGGGGCGACCTCCCAATCCTGGACCGTCGCCTGGTAACATCGAGCCTCGACGACCATTCGAAGTAGTGTCTATGGATTTTGTGACGCACATGCCCAAGTCAGCACGGGGAAACACTTTCCTGCTGTTGTTCCAAGATTCATTCTCTGGCTACGTGATGTGTAAACCCATGTCGTCTACGACGGCACAGGATGTCGCTGAGGCATACGAAGAGCGAGTCTTTCGGAATTTTGGTGCGTCGTCGATGATCAGACACGATAAGGTCCTCGCTTCATGAGTGAGGTGTTCACTCGTTTTCGGGAGCTGTTGGGTAGCCGTCAACGTGTGACCCTGGCCTAGGCGAACGGCCAACAGGAGCGGTCCGTCCAGACCGTCATTTGGAGCGTCCGTGCCTACATTGCCGAAGCAGACCAGTCTGACTGGGATGACCATGCAGAACGACTGATGTTCGCACTGAATACCTCTTTCGACGCGACCAGACTGGATACACCATTCTATCTGGTACACGGTTGGGACGCACAGGGAACGGTGTCGGCGATGCTAGGGCCAAAGCCATCCAGTGTGCCTGAGCGTACAGCATACGAGTGGCGTCGAAAGTTTCAGCGCGACTACAGCTACGCGATCGCATGTGCCGAAGATCTTCAGAAACAGGCGAAACGGACACGATCTGAGGAGCAGACACGAAAGTGGAAAGAACTCTCCGAACGATTGAAGACCGGATTCGAGAAGGGAGATTCGGTATGGCTTTACATCCCCAAGGTCCAGACAGGACTGAGCCGCAAGTTGGCTCACATGTGGCACGGGCCGTTCAGGATCGACGAAGTTCATGACGACTTCCGCGTGAAGCTCAAGGTTGAGGACACAGGATACCGCGTCAACCCGTGGGTACACATCAGTCGCCTTAAACCTCGAGCGCTGTTCCCGAAACGACCTACCGTAGCGCTCGAACTGGATGACGACGACGATTTCGATGCGGCGTTGTTGCCTGAGGATAGCTGGGAGCCGGACGAACAGAATGCCGAGTACGAAGTGGAAAAGATTCTGGACCTCCGGTGGACTAAACGTACGCGCACGTCCAAGCGAATTCGCGAGTACCAGGTCAAGTGGAAAGGATATGATGATCCGGAGTGGTTGCCAGTAACCCAGCTCAACTGTGGTGCACTTCTCTATGAATTTAACCAGAGTGCCCGCGCTAAGGCCCGGTTCCAGTCTATGCAGGCTGGTGATGATCACCTCAGTGTCTAGCACACCGGATGACTCGGCCGATCCTGACCGCGGATGTGTGAACCGACTGAACCTGAATGTGATTTTTGATTGTGGATTTGATAGTGACGACGCATGGATATTGTGAATGAGACTGAGTGTTAGCAGACAGAATGGACAAGTGATCGTGAAGTGAACGAGTGTGAACGGACCGAATCTGGAGCAGCCAGACTGAATGAGTGACAAGGGAACGAAAGACAAGTGATGAACATGAGGAGTGTGGAATTATGCAGTTAGCGGAAAGCGACACCGAATGTGCGACTAGTTTTGGTGCTCGACAGAGACCCAGTTGCCGCGCAGCTCGTTTGGAGGCAGGATCATGTCTCGGATCTCGTGAGGACGAACAGCGACGAGGTCGTTGGTGGACCATCCGGTCCACTGGATGCGGGCGGGTTCCGCGCGGTCCAGGATCGCCAGCTGCTCCATCATTGTGTATGGCTCGGTGCCGAGGTTTGTCTCCGACCGGTCGAACAGGATCCGGTGACACAGCTTGGCGGGGTACACCCAAATGCCTGGTTCGTGCAGGATGGTCTTGGGCGCTCCAGACACTTTCAGCTTGGCGATCAACTTGTTGTAGTCCTTGATGGCCGCGTCATGAAGTTTCTTGCGTGCCACCTGGGCCTTGGCGGCCTCCACGCTGTCCGCATCGAACGTGACCCAGTGACCGGCGTGCCAGAAAGTCAGCCGTTCTCTTTCATGTAGGTCACGACCTCGGACAGAACCTCGAGAGTGCTATCCGGTAGCGTGCTGCGCTTGTGGAACAAAAGGTGTTCGACGCGTCGTCGGAACATGCGCCCACCAGGATTGCTATCCAGAATGACCTCATACTCGTCGGGCCGGAACCGCTCCTTCAGAGGTTTCGAACCACCATTGTGGTTCGGTGCGTAATCGGGAAACCCGGGAGACTGGTCGACAGCGTTGACCGTTATTGAGGGTTGCTGGTCTTGGGTACTGTGTACCAGTTGTACCCATTAACCGGTTAACCCGAACCGGTCCAATCCGAACCCACGTTGATTATGGTGATTACGGTAAGTTGTTTAGGCCACCGATGATTAGACGAGTAGGATGATTGGATGAACACCGGTGAGTGATGGTTGATTAGATGCACTAGGTGATAGGACGCAGGGTCGCGTGTCTATAACAGTAGGGTGTAAGCTCCAACAATTCAATCACTTTCGAATCTTCATTCTACCCCTCAAGTGCCTTCGCTCCGGTCCCGCCGTCTGCGACGTCCCTCCCTCCGCTTCGTCCGAGCTTCGTGTCCAAGATCCATACCTTCCATCAGGTTATGAGCCCAAGCACCATGTCCTCTGCCCAAGACGCCTCGACCAAGGTCTCCATTGACAAGTTCAACGGGGACAACTACGCGACGTGGAACCGCTACATGCGTGGCGTGTTCCTGACCAAGTCGACGTGGCATGTCGTGAACCGCGAGACGACGCCGAGCTTCACGGACTCGCGGGCCAAGGACGACTACGTCAAGTCGAGCAACATCGCGTTCGGACTGATGTTGCTCCACATGGACGCGGACTACCACCATGTGGTCGACGACTGCGAGGAAGCGTGGGTTGCGTGGACGCGCCTGAAGACGCTGTACGGTGGTTCGCAGAAGGCTGGACGCATCTACCTGATGCGCCAACTCTTCAGCATGGAGATGTCGGAAGGCGGCAACGTCTTGCATCATTGCAACGAGGTCCTCAACATCAGCGCCAAGCTCAGCAGCATCGGCGCCAAGATGGAGGATGAGGACGTGGCGATCTGCCTGTTGCGCAGCCTCCCCAAGAGCTACGAGAACGTCGTGCTGAACTTGGAGATGAGCAGCGCTGAACTACGATCGCAAGACGTCGCGAAGGTGCTGACGAATGAGCACATCAAGAGACAAGGCGAGAAGACGGCGACGGTGAAGACGGAGAATGCGGCCAAGGCGTTCAACACCGACCGAGAGTCTCGCCAGTGTACGTACTGCGGGAAATTGGGGCACACGATTGACAAGTGCTGGACCAAGCAGAAGGACGAGAATCGGGGCCCAAGACGCGGCGGCAATGGCAATGGCCGTGGACGCGGGGCCAACAATGCCCAGTGGAGGAACGACGACGCCAGCTACAACTACGACTACGGCTATGATCGAGTGGCGTTCGCGGTCTCACTGGAGTGTGGCATTTCGACGGGCAAGAATATGTCCGGGTTGTGGGCGGTCGACAGCGGCGGAACGCACCACATCTGCAACGACAATAACGACAAGGCCAAGTTCGCTCATTTGATTGAGCGGAATGAAGGCGAACTTTCGGTGGCCGACGGCAACAAGGCGGCCATCATGGGTGTGGGGACCATCGTGGAACGAGTGGTTCTGCCCAACGGCGACGAGCGCGACATCGAGATCAAGAACGCGCTGTACGTCCCAAGCATGAGCAAGAATCTGCTTTCGGTGCCACAGATCAACAAGAGTGGTCTGTTCCAAGTCGTGTTCGACAGCACCAAGATGCAGATTGCGCACAAGGGCTCCAAGCAAGTGGTGGCGACGGCAAACCTCGTGGATGGACTCTACTGGCTCCAGACGCCTCAGCGATCGGCGAATGCGGCGACCAGTGGGAAGACGGTCGACTTACACGCGCGTATGGGTCACGCTCCGGTGGAGGTGCTTCGCAAGATGGTCGACAACAACATGATCAAGGACGCGAAGGCACCTTCCAAGTCGAGTGGACCAAGCGTGTGTCGCGGCTGCCAGCAAGGGAAAATGGTCCAGAAGCCGTTCCCAAGCAACCGTGACAAGCGTCACTACGACACGTTCGAGCTGCTCCACTTCGACGTGTGCGGCCCCATGGAAGAAGAGTCACTGGGTGGCAGCAAGTACCTGCTGCTGATCGTGGACGAAGCCAGCGGATGCATGAAGGGGTTCTGTCTGCGTGCCAAGTCGGAGAGCGAGGACTGCATCAAGATGTACGTCACGAAGGTGCAGACGCAGTTCGGCAAGAAGGTCAAGTTTGTGCGGCACGACGGAGCCCGTGAGTTCGCGACCAACTCGCTCAAGGCCTTCTACGAAGTCGAAGGCATCGAGCAGCAAACCACGGTTCCGTACGCGCACCAGACCAACGGCACGGCAGAACGCGCCATCCGGACCATCGTCACGATTGGCCGCAGCATGCTGCATCACGCCAAGCTGGACAAGAGCTTCTGGGCTGAGGCGGCCATGACAGCCATCTACGTGAAGAATCGTCTGCCATCACCCAAGATCGAACACAAGACTCCGTTCGAGATCGTTTACAAGTCCAAGCCGAGTGTGAAGCACATGCGTGTGTTCGGATGCCAGACGTACATCCTGACGCCGAAGGAAAGACGGCGCAAGTGGGACCCCAAGGCTCGCGCCGGGCTGTTCCTCGGCTACGAAGAAGTGTCCAAGGCGTATCGAGTTTATGACATCGAGGCGGGGCAGGTGGTTATCAGTCGCGATGTCAACTTCGATGAGTCGACCTTTGGACTTTCGACGCATACTTCGGATGAAGACGTCGATGATGCTGTGCTGGACTTGGACGCGCTGGACCTGGACGACAACGATGGACCGCGCCAAACGAGCTTCAAGCAGGCGGGGAAGCGCAAGTACCGACCGAGTGGCGACGACAACACTGCCAGAAGATCGCGCCCCGTTCGCCACCGAGCTGGCTTAGAAGAAGCAAGTGCGCCGGACGTATCCTCCTCGCGCCGAGCCGACCCCGACGAAGAAGAAAAGTCTGGGGACCAAGATGAAGACGACGACTCGACACCTCCAGTGTTTTGGCGTGCCAGTGCCAACGCTGTGGAAGCAGCAGCCGATCTATCGGAGCCGACGACGTTCCAAGAGGCTGTGAACGGTCCTGATCAAGTGCACTGGCGCAAAGCGATCCGCGCGGAGCTCAAGTCGATGCGACTGCGTGGTGTGTTTCGAGCTGCCAAGTTGCCTAACGGACAACGCGCCATCGATACCAAGTGGGTGTTCAAGATCAAGCGCAAAGCGGACGGCTCGATCGAGAAGTACAAGGCGCGCCTCGTGGCCAAGGGCTTCAAGCAGAAGTACGGCATTGACTACACCGAGACGTTCTCGCCCGTGGTCAAGTATGTGACACTGCGCATGGTGATCGCGATTGCTAAGTATTTTGGCTGGCCCCTCGACCAACTCGACGTGGTGACAGCATTCCTGTACGGGATAATGAAGGAGGTGGTCTTCTGCGTGGTTCCGGAAGGCGTCGAACTGGATGGTGACTTCGACTGCCTGGAACTGGTGAAGGTCATCTACGGTCTCAAGCAAGCTTCGCGAGTGTGGAACGAGACCTTCGACGAGTTCGTGTGCTCCATCGGCTTCCAAGTGTCGGCCTTCGATCCGTGCCTCTACATCAAGGTGGTGGACGGTCACTGCGTGCTTGTACTGGTGTACGTGGATGACGTACTGATTACCGGAAGTTCGCCCGAGCTGATCGCACGCACGAAGACCGACCTGAAGACGCGCTTCGAGATGACCGACAGCGGCAAGTGCGCGTTTGTTCTTGGGATCGAGTTGGTGGACGGCCTGGACGGCAGCGTGACCATGTGCCAGCGGCGATACGTGGACGACATCCTGAAGCGCTTCGCCATGGACGAGTGCAAGGCCGTGGTGAGTCCGGTGGACATGAGCACTCGACTGGTTCCAAGCGACGCGGCGACCAAGGTGAACGCTCCGTTTCGCGAAGCTGTTGGTGCTCTGATGCACCTGATGACCGCCACGCGCCCAGACATCGCGTACGCCGTTGGCTATGTATCGCGCTTCATGGAGAACCCCCAAGAGGAACACTGGGTTGCGGTCAAGCGTATCTTTCGCTACCTGCAAGGCACCAAGACGCATGGGATCTGCTTCAAGCCGGGCGACAAGATCGACTTTCGTGGCTACTCGGACGCGGACTGGGCCGGCGACCTCGCCGACCGCAAGTCCACTTCAGGCTACACGTTCATGCTCATGAGTGCGCCTGTGAGCTGGGGAAGCAAGAAGCAATGAAGCGGAGTACATCGCGCTCAGTCTGGCTATCCAAGAAGGCAAGTGGATTCATCGCCTGCTATGCGAGATTCTGGCGGCCGCTAATGAGACTGGACCCGAACTCATGATCCGCGAAGACAACCAGTCGTGCATCAAGATGACGAAGAACCCAGTGAACCACGGTCGCGCCAAGCACATCGACATCAAGTACCACCACATCCGCGATGAAGTCAAGCGCGGCGAAGTCAAGCTCCAGTACTGCGAGACTTCTGTGATGCTAGCGGACATCATGACGAAGGCGCTTGCGGGACCACGCCACACGGATCTGACGGTGGCTCTCGGCATTCGTGGGACTTCGCATTGAGGGGGCGTATTGAGGGTTGCTGGTCTTGGGTACTGTGTACCAGTTGTACCCATTAACCGGTTAACCCGAACCGGTCCAATCCGAACCCACGTTGATTATGGTGATTACGGTAAGTTGTTTACGCCACCGATGATTAGACGAGTAGGATGATTGGATGAACACCGGTGAGTGATGGTTGATTAGATGCACTAGGTGATAGGACGCAGGGTCGCGTGTCTATAACAGTAGGGTGTAAGCTCCAACAATTCAATCACTTTCGAATCTTCATTCTACCCCTCAAGTGCCTTCGCTCCGGTCCCGCCGTCTGCGACGTCCCTCCCTCCGCTTCGTCCGAGCTTCGTGTCCAAGATCCATACCTTCCATCAAGCGGAATGAAGGCGAACTTTCGGTGGCCGACGGCAACAAGGCGGCCACCATGGTTGTGGGGACCATCGTGGAACGAGTGGTTCTGCCCAACGGCGACGAGCGCGACATCGAGATCAAGAACGCGCTGTACGTCCCAAGCATGAGCAAGAATCTGCTTTCGGTG